AAGTGAGGGTAGACCCCTGATTCAGTCAGGGTGGACTCCCCAAGTCAGGGTGGAACCCCAAGTCAGTCGGGGTGGACCCCCTGAGTTAGGATGGACCCCCGAGTCAGGGTGGACTCCCCGAGTCAGTCAGGGTGGACTCCCCGAGTCAGTCAGGGTGGACCCCCAGAGTCAGTCAGGATGGACCTCCCCAATTTAGAGTGGACTCCCTGAGTCAAAGTAAACCCCTGATTCAGGGTGGACTCCCCAAGTCAGTTGGGGTGCACTCCCTGAGCCAGGGTTGGACTCCCCTGGGCAGTAGGCTTGGGTTTGAGGGTTTGGTTCATTGTCTGGGTATCTAGGGAGAGAGAAGACCACTGGTCCCTCGCAGTGGGGATGGCAAACTTCTCCTCACTGACAGGACATGTTATCTGGAGAGGCCAGTCCCTGGAGAAGGCCAATGGACTCGGTAAAGCAGAAGGTCAGTGAAAAAGAGAAAAGCCCCTCAGTGAGACGGGCTGACGTGCAGCAGAGATGGGGGGCTGGTGCCATACGGGGCAGGGTCTGTGGGGGAGCCCAGCACCTACTACAACAGCAAGAGTGGGGGTGAGCTGGACAATAACAGCCAGGCCCTCCTGGCCTGCTGAGTACCAGGGAGGAATGCTTTAGCTGGGGGTGGGCATCATCCTTTCTTTGGGGTGAGTAACAACCCCAAACAGGATGTTTACTGAGTACAGAACCCAGTGGGAAAGGGCTGCCCCCCAGCAGGGGTCCCACCTGCTTTTGTCACCTCTCTATGTTCCTCAGAGCTGACCCTTCCAGGACGATGTGGGGAGCCAGGGTCACAAAAACGGAACTCTCCTCATCCCCATTTACCTGACCAAGGTCAGACCAAGGTCAGAGAGGCTTCTTCCCCAAACCTTCAGTTAAAATCAAAGCTGGTGTTTTGGATGCAGGGTGGGGGCAGGGAAAGCAGACCCAGCACGCCCAGAGCTGACACATGAGGCGGGTACCCAGAGTCACAGCAGCGTCCACTTACCAATGGGCAGCAAGCAAGGCTCCTGGTCCCCTGGATATCCACCCCCCCATCCCACCCCCATCCCGCAGCATCATGAAGGACATAAACCTCACCCTGCAAGAGTGTCAAGTGCAAAGAGGAGACAGTGCTGGGGCCAGGCCACCTGCAGGGGACTTGGCCTGGACTGACCGTGCACACCCGCCCTATCTAGACATTGTGTCCTATCTAGACGTTGTGTCCGGTGGATCTGCTGAGCCCTCTTCACTTTGCCTCCCCACCAGCCTGTTGCTCAGGGAAGCAGAGAGAAGCACCCTGGAACCTGGCCAACTGCCACAGGTGGCCTTGAACTTGACCTTCTGGAGCAGTGAAAATGCTAACTCCATAGATTTCTGTTATCAAAGCTACAGGCAGCAACCTAATAGAATCCAGCTAGACCTTCCTGAAGCTTCTGTAGAAACATGAGGAAAACATGCTTCTATCTGGGGGTCTTGGGCACCGCCTGCCTCCCCCTGGGGACATGCGGTCAGGCACAGCCAGATGGTCACAGGTTTGGGTCACTGACCCACCAACCAAAGCTGTGGACACTAAGAGGTTAGCTCACCCTTCCTCCCTTCCATCCCCCACCCCGAGGCAGGCTTCTCAGTCTTCTCAGGATTCTCAGGAGAATCTCAGACCTTGGTGAGCCTGGGTTTGGGGCGGAGGAGGGAAGGGGTGAGGCTGGGCGGGCCAGGAGGAGCTGAGCTCTGTCCTGCTGAGGACACCTGGCTGGCAGCCTTTTGGGGCAAGAGCAGGTGTCAACATGGCTCTGACCCCAGCCTGTTTAGACCCCTCTTAGGTGGCTTGGGAAGTCCCAAGTGCACTTACAGGGATAGGAGGGGGCGTGGACTTGAGACCACTGACTTGCAGGTAAGATCAAGGATGGAGAGGGGGCTGGGAGACACACAGGGACCCCAGAATAGGTGGAGGAAGTCAAGGAGGCACAGAGGGAACCCAGGATGGGGAGGGGAGCCAAGGAGATACAGAGGGGCCCCAGGAGAGGGGAGGGGGTCAGAGAGACACAGAGAGGCCCAGGAGAAGCACAAAGAGTCCTGAAGTGAGGAAGAGGGGCTGAAAGAATGAGCTGCTGGTGGGGGACCAGCTAGGATCAGCCCCTGGGAGGAACATCAGCCCCCACTCCCAGGGCACTGGAGCCAGGATAGGAGCAGAAGGTTGAAGAAAGACTGAGGTGTCCAAGCTTGCGTGCCAGAAGCCCCCCAGGAAGAAACCCACCTATGCAGGAGGGGCAGGGGGAAGGGGGCAGCCTTTCAGGGAGAGCGAAAGAGCACCACCGAGGGCCACATGGACTGTTCCAGAAATCCAGACCCTTTAAGCCTCCAAGTCTCTGGAAATGCACACAACACACACCCACACCCCTTTATCTATAGCTGCTCAGTCAGCCCCTCACATGCTGGCCAGCCACGGGCATTTCAGAAAGGACAGCGTTAGCAAAGACCCTTTGCCCGGGGCTCGGGCGGGGAGGCCCAGGGCAGTGGTCACTTACGAGGGCCAAGCAGGTAGCCAGCGCTGTTCAGGGTCCAGCCTCGCTTTGCCTGGAGGGGAGAAACACAGGTCAGCCAGCCAGGCTGGTGGTCTGGGAGCTTCTATGGGGCCGCCGTCCACTCAAGTGGTAACAGGATGTTACCAGAAAATCCGCTGAGTGTCTATCTGACAAACCTGGAGCAGGGCTTCTGGAGCAGAGGGGCTCTGACCTCTCTGGGGGCTGTTCTGGGAGAGGCAGCAGACCACTGCCTATCAAAGGCCCACAAGATGCCAACACCCCCCCCTGCCCTGGGTTTGGGGTGGGGGTAACAGAGCTGTCAGTGAGCAGAGGCCCCCCCGGGGTGGGAGGAGTCAGTCCTGTGCTGGTGGCCCTGGAGCGGAGGACAGGAGTGGATGGCTCAAGACCGTTGCTCCCAAGGCATCTAGGGAGGGAACCGCTGCCAGGATCTCAACCCCACGTGTTCCTGCCAGAAGCTGTTTATGTCTAGAGCAGTTGGGGGAGTCCCAGGCCTGTCCTCTGGGGAGCCCTGCCCACCTCTCCCTCACAAAGCCCTGACCAACTTGGGGGCCCCTCCTGGGTGCTCAGTGCCAAAGCCCTGCCCAGCAGGATCACCCTATGTCCAGGTGGTTGAATTGACGCTTTTTTGCACCCACCCCTAGTCTGGTCCCAGATGGAGAGGGGACACTTACAGGTGCCCCCAGGCCCGGGATGGCGTTGAAGGACAGAGAGAGGAGGAGGGCGGCCAGCAGGAGGGCGCTGCCTCGGAACGTCTGGAGGGAAGGGGAGATTGGGGGTCAGTGTGAGGGGATTCCCAAGTGGGGACACAGGAGGGGCCAGTGGGGACTAGGGGCAGGTCTGGTCTGCGGGACACCGGTGGGGATGGGGCATGGTGGGGAGGAACAAGGGTTGACTGGAGGGGCACCTTGAGGCTGGGATCCGGTTGGGAACAACAGAGCCACCGGGAAGCACGGCATTGGGCGTCCCCAGTAATGAACCGGGGGAGGACCCTCTGTTGGGCCTGGGGGACACCATGGGTCACCTGCACCGGAACCGTGAGTGGCGCCAGGTCCCTTAAAGGTGTCCCATCCAGGCGGGGCTAGAGAGGCATGGTGGGGTCGGGTTCCAGCAGGCATGAGGTCCAGGTAGGGGGCTGGATCAGGTCGTGGGGTCCAGGCAGCGGGTGGGACAGGGTGTCGGGTCTGTGAGGTGGGGGTGATGGTTGCGGGGAGCCCACCAGTGTTGGTACCATGACTGGCGGTGGTCCGGAGGTCCAGGGGGCCTGGCTGGCGGTGGTCCGGGGATCCAGGGAGCCCTGGCCAGCAGCAGGGGTCCAGCGAGGTGCAGGCAGTGGTCTCGCAGGCACTCACTGCATGGCGCTCTCCCAGGGATGCAGCTCGCCCGACGGCCGCTGCTCTGGAGTCGCCTTCTGCTATTTATGTCGTCCTGAGGCTGCCACGTCACTGGTCCCGCCCTCCAAACCCCCCCTTGAGCCCCGAGGGGGCAGGAGTGGCCACAAGTTGAGAGCTGCGGAGAGACCCTCGTACTCCCCACAGGGGACAGATCCCCAAATCCCTACACAAAGCTCCCCAGCTGGATCCAGCACTGCAGTAGAAACCCGTTACTGTCCGTGGAGGCGCGGGGTGCAGGGAAGGCGGGAGTGGCTGGACGCCCCGCATTGCCCCCCCCCCCTTGTCCTCTGTAGCCCAGCTCTGCTGAGCAGAGAGCACAGAAGACTGAGCCAGTCCCCGCTGGGGACCAATGCTGGGTGCTAACATTCTCAAAGTAGCCAGCAATGCTTCCCCCCTCCCCCAGGACCGGGAAGCTGCCATTGCTTTCCTTCAGCCTTCAGACCAGGTTAACCCTGTCCCTGTCCTCAGTCCCGTGTCCCCAGGAGCTGCACCTGGCACCAGGAAGAGGTTCGGAGTGTCTTCGGGGACCCCTAAGTCAGTCTCCTAGAAAGTCATGTGCTGTCCTGCACTGGGGATGGGAATAGGGGGCGAGAATCACAGAGGAGTGTGGTTCCAGGCTCGCTCCAGAGCTGGTGGGACCGGAGGACAGTGCAGGGAAAGATACACCTCTGAGTCCAGAGATTCCAGCCACCAGGAGAGACCTCGCAGGCACCTCAAGCTTTTGGCGTGAACACCAATCCCAACGTGCTGCAGTGAGGTGGGGAGGGAGAGGGGAGGTTTGCTTCCAGGTGGTGAGTTCACGGCAGACTTGGAAAAGGAAGAGGAGAATTCACAAGCTGAGGGTGGGAATGTTGTTAGGTGCCACTGAGGCAACCAGGGCTCCTAGTGACCTTGAACCCTGCCCTGTCCTGTGCCATCCTTGTCCTCTCTGACACACTTGAGCCCCCCTGCCCCCATTACAGTCACTGTATTTAAGGGTCTTCCCCTCCTTGGCCGACCTCTCCAAGATGACGTCCCTCTCCAAGGACTATCCTCTCCTAATGCCCAGAGGACGGGAGATGAAGCTTCTCCACCTTTGCCTCCAAGGAGCACTCTGGCTGCACCTTCTCCAAGACCCTTGTTCTATTGACAGTCCATGGGATATGCAGCGCTCTTCTCCAAATCACAATTCACAAGCATCAATTTTTCTTCTGTCATCCTTATTCACTGTCCAACTTTCAGATGTTTAGCAAGAAATAAAGACGACCATGATTTGAATCAGGTACACCTTAGTCTTTAAACTGGCATCTTTGCTCTTCAGCATTTTGGAGAGGTCCCTGATAGCTGACTTTCCCAGTGCAACACATCCTTTGATTCCCTGGCTGATGGTGCCAAGGATGTTGATTGTGGATCCAAACAAGAGAAAGTCATTGACAATTTCTAGCTCTTCATCTGTCATGATGCTGCCTATGGGTCGAGCTGGGAGGGTTTTTTCTGTTGAACAGTAGTCCATATTGAAGGCTGTGGCCTTTGATTCTCTGCAGCAAGCGCCTCAGGTCCTCTCTACTTTCAGCAAGCAGGGTTTGATCATCTGCCAAATACAGGAGACCCAGAAATAATGCTCAGAGAGGAAGAGGGTCAGCAAAGGAGAGGAAGACCCTCGACCAGGTTGACTGCCATGTGACTGCCACGTGGGCTGGCACAGGATGGGACAGGGTTCGGGTCTTCTGTTCACAGGGTCATTATGGGCTATACTTCAATCGATGGCCCCTATCAACAGCTATATAGGTTGTTGGTGACTCTTTGTCCAATCCTGACGCCATATTCTTCTTCATAAAGTCCAGTTGCTCAAATGACTTGTTTTGCAAAGAGAAGGACCAAGTTCAGAGACAGGATGCATCCCTGACGCACTCCTTTCCTGATTTTAAATCATATGTTTCCTTGCCCTGTTTGGACAATCGCTTCTCGGTCTAGGTTTAGATATCGCATGAGCCCAATTAAATATTCTGGGATTCCCATCTTCTCAATGTCAGCCATAATTTGTTATGATCCACACAGTCAAATGCCTTTGCATAGTCAATAAAGCACAAATAGACATCCTGGCATTCTCTGCTTTCAGCCAAGGTCCATCTGACGTTAGCAAGGAGGAATAGTGTCACTGAATCATCCACGTGGAAGTTGTTGAATTGATGAATGTTTCACTGTTGATTATCTTCACAACAACAACAAAAACATTTGCCTGCCCCTCTCCTGCTACCTGGCAGAGTGGCCCCAGCCACTGAGGCCCTCAACAATGGCCTGCAGAGGTGGCCCCTCCCAGCCAGGTCCCCTGAGTTACAGGGGAGGCTGCAGCCCCTTCCCCACCCCTCAACCCCTGTGCTGCATCCCAGACTGATTACTGAGTCTGAGACTCCTGAAGGGACGAATGATAATGACCACCATCCACCTGTCTTCTAACCCTCTCCGTCTTCAACACTGTGATGGGGTGAGGGCTATGGCGTAAGCCACGGACTTCCAAGAACACACCGGTCTGTCTCGAAGGAGGGGTAGCCAGACTGCTCCTCGGAGGCACGGCTGGTGAAACGTCACTCCCTCCTCTAGGTGGACTTTCAGGAGGACCCAGCCTTTGGACAGAGACCTCGTGATGGGAAGGGTAGAGGAAGACCCTCCAGGAGAGGGATGGCACAGTGACCGCCACTAGGGCCCGAATGACGAGGACAGGCTGGTGTCGGCTCTGTGTTCACAAGGTCGCGCGGAGTCGCAGTCAGCTCGACGGCACCCAGCCGTCTGTCTCCCCAGAAGAACAGGCAGAGTCCTCCCGGCCTCTGGGCACGTGAACAGACAGGATCGTTCCCCAAAAAACGGCCTCGTGCTTGGTCAGTCAGAGGTCAGTGAGGAGGCAAGCCCCCCCACAAGATGGACCGGCACAGTGGTGGCACAGTGGCTGCAGCAGTGGGCACACGGCAGGGGTGGTGAGGGTGCCGCAGGGCCCTGTGGGAAAGCGCACGCAGCCCCGTAAACACAGCTCCGTGGGCATCGCAGGGCCGCCTCGCCCGTCACACCAGGTAGTGACACACGAGACACATGCCGGGCCGGCTTCCTCTAAGCTCATCAGCGTTCAAAGCCATTATGTTTCGGGGACAGAGTCTCGGAGGACACCGTCTGCTAGGACGTGGCAGGTAGCCCTGACCAGACGTGTGACGTGGGCAGAACAAGCTGCTCGGGACGGGATGCCAGGTGTTTCCTGGCACAAGCTGTGCCAGAACTTGCACCCGGGTGAGTAATGGGCTCAGCACTCAGCCGTGACCCAGCGAGAGTCATTGTCACCTTGTCATCCTGCAGACGCCCAGTGGGTGGCAGGCAACGTGGGCGGCCATTAGGGTAATGGACGCATAGCTCCTTCCCGGGCGCTGTGAGCTGGCCATGCGGCTGTGGAGGTCCAATCACGTCACCAAGTCAGACCAGCTTACGTCTGAGAAAGAGCAAGTGTCCCAGAGGGTCACAGGAAGGAACCCACGCTGCTCCCACACTTCCCAGTCCTGCTTGGGGGTGACAGCAGGGCCCCCACGCAGTGTGGGTACAGGGGTTCTGGCAGTGGGTACAGTCCAGCAGAGACCCCGACTCAAAACACCTGCTGCTACAGTGCCCACCTTATTAGGGGTGAGAAGACATGGGGTGAACTGACAGCCGGGTGGGGAGCACCGTGGAGCCCCAGGACTGGGCATGCCAGCGGTCCAGGCTACACAGCACTGCCCTTCAAGGCTGCCAGGGCCTGGGAGGCCTCACAGGGCTGCAAACACGGCCAGTCCAGACAGGCTGGACTTTGAGTATAAGACACATCCAGATTCCAAACACTTAGCACCCAAAAAAGAAAGGCCAGTATTTCAGGACTGAATTGTTAATAGATAGATTTTTTCCTTTTTTTTTTTTTTAAATTATATTTTGTGTGTGTGTACCGTCTAATCGGATCTGACTGGTACAGGAGATTGCCCCTCCTTCTCCAGCAGAGCATCTGGTGGATTTGAACTGCGCACCTATGGGACTGCAGTGCAGCTTCTTGCCACTAGGCCACCAGAGCTCCCTTAGGACTGAATTGTTATACTGCTCAGACCCTCTGGTGCCCCGCGGCTATTACTGTGCCCCACTGGGTCGGAACCACACACCTCTGGTGAGGGGTGCACCAGAGCTGACAGCCTGGAGGGAGGGGATTGCGCTAACGACCAGAAGACAGGCAGTTCAAATCCCCTGGCTGCCCCACGGGAGCAAAGATGGACAGTCTCCTCCCACACGGTTTGCAGCCTCTGAAAACCTGCTGGAAGGTCGGCTGGGTGCGTTCCGAGTCCACGGGAACGGCTGGAGGTGATATGCTGGCTGTGTTGTTCAGATCCATTGGGTTAAGTGAACTATACTGTCAAAATCGCACTTCACGCCTCTTCTTACCTTTTAGAAATGTTGTTTCATGTCATGGCGTCAAGTGTGAGTCACAGCAGGGACACTCAGTCCACGGAGCCACAGCCCATCCGCCCTGTCCAGACCCATCCGGTCCTGTCCGGCCTTGTCCAGCTCCGTACGCCCTGTCCATACCC